CTGAAGAAGGGTCCCGACCTGAAACGTCGACTTTCCTGCTCCTCTGATGCTGCCTGGCCTGCTGTGTTCCTCCAGTTCTGCACAGTGTTTGAGTTTTGGCCAAACAGGTTGTTAGCATGTAAGTAATCCAAGTGTGCCTAACAACAGGCAACAGGACTGGAATAGTCTCCTGGAGATAGTCATAGCAAACCACTGCTGTATTTCACTTGTAAGACCATTATTCATTAACATTGTAAAATTACATCACAAAACATTTCAACTTTAATACTACAGAATACACAGTAAAAGTCCACTGGTCCTCATATGGCATGTTTTGCTTTGACGTACCTCAAGATAATTTCATATCATGCACTCTATGGGTAAATGCGAAATACTGCAGATGCTGGAACATGAAACCCTGTTCAGGGTAATGGCCACTAGAGAAATTGAAGCAGTCTGCTTAATGGCTTTGTTACAAAATTTTGCATGGACTATTACCCAAATACGTTAAGTAATTTGGCAGAATTAGAAAGGAAACCAAGCCTGTTTGAGTTCACTCCCTCTACAGGGGAGGAAAGCATTATATGGTAATGTTATTGTCAGCCATATTGATCAATTATTGTGGATTTGGCAAAAATATTACCCAAATATCAATGGCATAGATTTACTCCAGTTATTACCACCACAACAACAACTTTCATTTGTACAACACCTTCAAAGCAGAAAATCCCAAAGCTCTTTACAAATTCCAGGAAAACCAGATGCTGAGACAAAGGAAAAAAAATGATTTGCAGGATGACCAAAAACAGCCATTTTATTAAGGTTCAAAATGGGTCTTAAAAGGAAGACTGGGGTGAAGGGTAATTCAAAGTTGGTTTATAGTGCTGAAGAATCATCAGACATTAACTTTATTTTTTTCCCCATAGATGCTACCAGACTGGCTGAGATTCTCTAGCACTGATTTAATTTATAGTTAATTTTGTATGGTGCTTGTGAAGGAAAGAATAAAATCAAAAATGATAAGCATTTTTGCATATTATAATATAGACACACTCAAACTCAGGATTTGTAATTGCTATATAAACCTCAATAATGTCAATTATAATTTACATAAAGATCATCTACATTCCTCATTTGCAAATACAATCTATACCATGGAGAGTTCCTGAATTTAAACCAAATCATAAACATGCATTTACCTGTCACCCTCACGGTGCAGAAATTGTATGGTACAGAAAGACAGACTTGATCCATATCACGAATATTAAGAGGAAAACAATCCCAAATCAAATATACTGTCTTAGCTATTTATAAAATACAAGTCTTTTAACAAGAATGTCTTTGATACATTTCCACACCATTTACCTCAACAGGCTATTTACCTTCCACAGAAGCATGGCCATTCATTGTCTGGGCAGTTTGATGATTAACAACTGAGGTTACTCTTGATGAGCCCTCCTCTGCAAAATCATTTTCTTCCTCAGAGTCCACCAGGGTAAAAACAGTAGAACCAGTTTGCCTAAGAAGAAAAAATCAAGATACACTGTGATCAAAACAAGTTATTTGCAAGAGAAAACTGTTCTACAGTGAAGCAAATCAGTGTAACTATCCTGTATACAACAATACTAGATGAAAATTATGATTTTTAATCCTCTAGGATTTAACTGGGGGTGGCGGGGGGCAACAGATCAGTTACATACTAGCTTTATCAGCACTATCTCTAAATCCTTGTTCAAAGGCAAACATTTATACTACACTAGAATTACATAAAATATGCAGCAATGCAAAAACGGGCAGAACTTTCCTTCTCTCATGACAGTGAGCTTGGAGACAGAAAAGGCCTGGAAGAGAGCAAGAAGCTGCAAAATGATGGCTACTGTACGCATATCCACCACCAATGACAGGCTTCGGGAAAGATTGGAAGTGAGTAGACAATCAAAATGTTTAAGCCTCCAATAATGGAGTGATTTTGCAAGTTCACCATCACTTTACAACTTCATAGGCTTTCATGGAGAGTGGGGGCTTTGAGAAGCTATTAGAGTTGGAGAACCCACATCTCCAAAAGCAGGCAGTGGGCACGAATGACCTCATATGGAGCTGATATGATTTATCCAGAAGGGCCAATTCTTTGTTCTGCACAGCCTAATTTATATCCTCGGTTGTCACGGCAGGTCAATGCCAAGTTATCTTCTCTATCCTCAGCAGCACCTTCCCTCCCAGTGTGCTGCTGTGGGTTCTGAACTGCTGCCAACACTACGATCAGAAGTGCCCTTCTTAATAAGACTGAGTCCATAGGAATAGCCAATTTGGAGCCCCCCCCTCCACCACCGTGCAAGGAAGACTGTACATCAGTCTCATTGCTAGCAAGTGGGGGATGGGGACTCCTTCAGGAACCAATGGTGAGGTTCCAAAGCTTATATTAAAATCCAGCCCAACGTGTCTTTTTGCACCTACTGACTTTGGATCCCATTCCCTTTCAAAAATTATGAGTCTTGTGGCCAACACAGCTTTCTTCATCCCAGGATTGTAATTGTTAATATTTCAGTAACGAGAACCTGAAGAAACAGCCTCAAGTAGGCTCTTAGGATAAAGCAGTGAGTGGTCAATTGCTGCAGGAACAGAAAACAAAAGATCTATGATTAACGTCACCGGTCCTCAGGTTTCACAGAACAGGATCCTGAAAACAATTACAGTCAATTCCGCTATAATGTGTGGTCCAGCAACGCAAATTGGCTATAACGCGACTGGCGAATAGGGGAACAATATTTCTAAAACGCAAACTTCTGCTGGCTATAATGCAATCCCATCGGTGCACAGATGCGTATGTGTCGACATCACACATGATCATTTCACAGGCTTTATCCTTAGCATGCGCAATGTTAGCGCTGAAGGAGTCTCCGCACCAACATCACATGATCGTTTTGCAGGCTTTGTTGTGAAGCGCTTTTGGAGAGAGGTACAGCACTCCATGATTTTCATTTTTCTTTTGCAAATTCTGCTGTGTTAACCACAAAAATGCAAGAACAAAGTGACAAGGATGTTAGCAAGAAGCGACCTGGTGATAAAATTGCGGCTGGGTGAACATTAATGAAAGGCTACAATGCTGGGAGAGAAGCTAGATGTTATCAAGTGTTTTGAGTGTAATGAGAGAACATGTGAGATAGTTCGTGTAACAGGAATAAATGAGTCCACCTTACGCACCATTAGAGACAATGCAGAAAAGATTAAAGCAAGCTATATTGCTGGAACAAGTCTGAGTGCTAGCAAATCTGTGAGGTCACGGAAAAAGGAACTTGGAGGAGATGAAGCGGCTTCCAAGTGTGTTGATAGAAGGTCAGAGGAAAAAGCGATCTGGGATTACCTTTCTCACCACAAAAGAGAAAGCCATATCAACTTATGAAGATCTAACAAAAAAAGCTGAAAATCCTGCAGATGCGCCTGCCTTTAGTGGCTGGTTTGCTAGTCTTAAGAACTGCTGTGCTTTTCGTAATGTAAAGTTATGTGGCAAAGCCGCCAGTGCAGATGAGGAGCATGTGATGGCATTTTCTCCCATAGTAAAAAAATTAATTGAAGAAGGCTACAACTTAGATCAAGTTTTCAATTTGGACGAGACAAGTTTATACTGGAAGCAAATGCCATCAAGGACCTACATTTCTACGAATGAAGCACATGCTCCAGGCTCTAAGCTGGCAAAGGATCGTATGACTATGCTGCTGGGTGCCAAAGCCAGTGGAGACTTAAAGCTGAAGCCTGTGGTGTAGCACTCTGCCAACCTGCAAGCCTTAAAGTTACCTTAAGTCTACTCTAGAGTCTACTTTAGGTCAAGCAAAAGAGGTTGCATGACAGGGCAAATTTTTTCTGACCTTACTGTTGCTGTTTCGAAAGATGTGTTTAGAAAGTATTGTGGGATAAAAAATTTGGATTTCAAGATTTTCCTCATCCTGGATAATGCGCCAAGCCATCCTCCCACCATTGGCGAACTTTCTGAAAATATCAAAGTGCCATTTCTACCCCCAAACCTCTCTCCTTCAACCCATGGACCAGGGTGCAATTGCAGCTTTTAAAGCTTATTATTTAAGGTGCACAGTTAAGAGGCTGATTGCAATGACTGAGGGGGATAAGGACAGTGTTCTTCTATTTTGGAAAAGCTTTAACATCAAGAATGCAATTGACATTATCGTGGAGGCCTGGGGTGATGTCTGTGAGACTGCTTGCATGCAGTTTGGTGGAAGCTTCGCCCATACTTTTTTCAAGATTTTAAAACCTTTGATCCATCAGAGGAGCTCCAAGAATCAAAGAACATTGTGTTGATCTTGCAAAGCAAGTTGGATTTGAAGTGGAGAGTGAGGATGTTGAAGAGCTGCTTGAGTCCCAGAGTGAAGACCTCTCTACAGCTGATCTACAACAACTTGTCGCGGAGGGGGAAGTGGAAGCTGGAGATGGAGTAGTAGTAGTCCAGGATGCAGCATCACGAGAACTTTTCACTTCTGTTTTGTCTTCTGTCCTGAGGGAAATTGAGAAGCAGTTGCAGCTCTTAGAGGACAATAATTACAATGCAGAACGCAGCAGGGTTGCAGTTTGTGGAATAAGATCTTATTTGGCAACTTATGAACAGCTTCTTCATGAAAGAAGGAAAAGGGCAAAGCAGCAATAACTGGATATGCTTTTTAAGCCAACCCCAAGAAACAGTCAGAAGACAATGAACCGCAGCCCCACTTCTAGATTAAATATTTTTTGCTCTAACCCTGCAACAACTGCACCTGAAGGTGATGATGGTGACTACCCTCAGACCCCTGCATTAACAGAGCAACCTCAAAAGCTCCTCCCCCCATCAAGTCATCCTAACATTTTTTCAAGGTAAGGTGTTAAATTTACTTTTATTTCATTATTAGATATGAATTAAATATTTATTCAAACTGTGCTATCCTTTGTGTTAGACTTTGGAGTGATTTTTGAGTGATATTTTTGGTGGTCTTCCCCTAAGCTTTTTCTATAGGCCCATTATTTCTATAGCACGATTTTCTATAACGCGATGTTGCACATGAATGCAATTATTGCGTTTTTAGCAGAATTAACTGTATATGACATTCCATTATTTTTCTAACAATATTGACCTCTTCATTTACTATAAACAAATACGTAAATATAGGAAAGATATTGGTTTCCTTTTTTAAAAAAAAATAAAATTAAGCACCAACCTCTGGAACACATGAGGTCCATCTTCAGTCCCCCCAGTGTCTCTATGGGCCCTTTGCTAGAAGAACCATAAACTTACCAGCTCTTTTCTTGTTATTTTCATCTGCTTCGAATCATTTTATCAAAGAAAGGAAGAAATAACACCATTTTTGTTTTCAAGTGCTCCCAGTGCAAAGCTCCAACAACTCTTTGTATAAGACTTTTTACAAAGCTTTCTCCTGTCTTTTTTGGCCAGATAGTTAACCATCAAATACACATTGGTCTTGGCCTCGCCTAGGACACTTACTTGAGCATAACTACAGTTTCTCATTCTAATGCATCCTTGAGAATCCATGCTGTGGTTTTACCAAAAACAACACAGATCTAAATCTGGCTTCAGCGTTGCCTTGTATAAGTTCATAACCTCAATGTCCTTGTATATCATGTCTTGACATGTATATCTAAGCAGTACTTATGACTGTATTTGGCTGCACTTGCAAAAGATTGTGATTTTCTCTTGAGCTCTTCCGTATCTTTCAGCATTCTTTTGTCAACCACACCATTTCCAGTTGTTGCTCCCAAATCTATCATGTCTGCAATAAATTAAGTATACTGCTTGGCTGCTCATTTAGATAGCAATTCTTTCCCCAAGTATTTTTATTGGCCATAAACATGCACTTATATCTACAAATTTGAAAATGAAGGTTCCTGAGACCAAATCATACGCACTCTACACTCGATAATGTGAAGCTCTGTTTTTACACTAAGCTTTATGTTATCCAGCAATTTAAATTAAAGAGCATAAGCAAGTGGGAATTTAATGTTCCCAAAAATTTGGAGGGAGCTACCAGAACTGATGCCAGTGTGCTGATCTTACTGGTATTACAGCAGGAACCCATTACTTCTTTTCTTGTAGCAATTCACTTGGATTTAGTTACTGTTTATATTAAACTTGAGAATGGAGCTTTCAGTTTGGACTGGTGCTTATGTTGGTGTTTGCTACAAGATTCCAAAACATTGTCTTGCTCCATGTTCAGCTGGTGCAAGTGGGATAAAACTTATTACATTCTTTTTGTTTTCATTCAGAACATCCCCTCTAAATTATCCTTTCCATTGCAAGCCATTATAAATTTAGAAATTAACATGAAGTAACTGCAGAATGTAGATCAAATTAAAATAGAAAATTGCTTTCTTTCAGCCAGGATTGAAAAAGGTAGCTTCAATTACACTTAGAAAAAAAAATATATGTAGGAAATATTTATATCCCCGTCAGGTTGCAAGTTTCTTTAAGGAGGAAAGAATTACTCACCAAAAATGTCTTCCTGAAAAATAAAAAAGAGAAAATAAAACTCATATGTTTAATAGTAGTGATGCATAACTATTAAAACCAAGTATCAGTACTTCACAGTATGGTTAAAAATATACCAAAAAGAAATGTCAGTTTATGTAAGGTTAATAAACAGCTTTTCAAAAGAAAGCTGATGTCTTACAGACCAAGGTGATGATGGCTAGTAATCCAGTGACACAGGCTAATGCTTTCTGAGGACATGGGTTGGAAACCCACCATGGCAGCTGACGGGATCTGAATTCAACTAATAGATCTGGCATTAAGAGCTAATCAAATAGTGACTAGTATTGATTATTGTAAAAAGACAACAAGAAGAACATTAGAACTAGGGGGCATAGCCTCAAAATAACGAAAAGCAGATTTAGGGCTGAGTTGAAGAGGAACCTCTTCTTCCAAAGGGTTGTGAATCTGTGAAATTCTCTGCCTAGCGAAGCAGTTGAGGCTACCTCGTTGAATATTTTTAAGGCAAAGACAGTTGGATTTTTGAACAGTAAAGGAATTAAGGCTTATGGCGAGCGGGCGGGTAAGTGCAGCTGAGTCCACAAAGAAGATCAGCCGTGATCTCATTGAATGGCGAAGCAGGTTAGAGGGCCAGATGGTCTACTCCTCCTCCTATTTCTTCTGTTAATATCCTTTAGGGTAGGAAAATCAGCCAACTTCATCTGGTCTGGCCCACAAGACTCCAGATCCTCAGCAATGTAGTTGGTGTTTAAACACCCTCCGAAATGGTTAGCGAACCGCTCAGTCTAATGCTACAAAATCCAATAAAAGAAATGGAACCAGCCAGCCAAAGCACTGGAAACAAGGCCTGATAAAGCTACAAGGTCCTCCTTACTAACAGCACAGGGCTACTGCGAAAATTGGGATGAATGTCCCACAGGCTAAAACAAACAACAGTCTGATGTAATCAGACGAAATCATGCATTAAATACATTGTTCCAGATATCACGATGACCATTCCATGGTGTATCCTTTCCCACCAGCAGTACAGGCCTAGCAAAGGAAGTGACACAATGGTATACAGTCAGGAGGGAATTACCCTGGGAAACCTCAATTTGACGCTGGACTCCACAAAATCTCATGGCATCAGGTCAAGCATGGGTAAAGAAAACCACTGTTGATTACCACTACCAACAACAGTCAGTTGATGACTCAGTTGTTCTCCATGATGACCACTACTTGGAAGACAGAGGATGGCAAGGGCACCTAATGTACTCTGTGTGGGGATTTTACTGCCCATCAAACAGGGATTGATAGCACCACCACTGACAAGATGGCTGAGTCCTAAAGGACACAGCTGTTTAACTGGGTTTGTGGCAGATGGTGAGGAGGAGCCCAGCATATCAGTACAAAAGCTAAAGCTGAAACACTTACAGGGATCTTCAGCCTATCAAGCAACACTTATTCAACAATAATCTGCTCACTGACACACAGTTTAGATTCCACCAGGCTCGCTCAGTTCGGAACCTCATTACAGCCATAGTTCAAACAGAAGAGCTGAACTCAAAGGGGAAGTGAGAACCTCTACTCTTGACATGAAGACAGCATTTGGCTCTGTCTAGCATCAAGGAGACCAAGCAAAACTGGAGCCAATGGCAGAAAGGATGACTATTGTGGGTTGGAGGTCATAGAGTCACCAACCATCTCCGTGCCAGGATATTCTGCAGGAGCTCTTCAGGGTTATGTCTGAAGCCCAGCCATGTTCAGCTGTTTCAATGACCTTCGCTCGTTATTATGTGCATTCATCAGTGAAAATCTCCAGCACTGATTGCATGTCAAAATACTAAAGCAGCCCATGTCCAAATGTAGTAAGACCTGGAAAACATTTAGGTTTTGGCTAATAAATGTCAAATAACATACAGGCCAAACAAGTGTGCCAGATAATGACTATCACCAACAGGACAGAATCCACCAATCCCCCCTTGACATTCAACGGCATTGCCACTGAACTCCACACTATCAACATCCTAGAGATTACCCTTGAACTGAAATTGAATTGCCAAGTCATATACATACTGTGCCCATAACAGCAGGTCAGAGGCTGGGAACTGCAATGAGTAACTCCAAAGTCTGTCCACAATCAAGTGTGATGGAACATTCTCCACTTGCCTGGATGAGTGCAGCTCCAGCAACACTCCAGATGCTTGGCACCATCCAGGACAAAGGTGCCTGCTTGATTGGTGCCAATTTAACACCTTCAGCATTCACACCCTCCATGACCAATATACAGTAGAAGCAGTGTGTACCATCAATAAGATACAACGCAACAACTCACCGAGGCTCCTTAATGTGTTCCAAACCTCCAGCCTCTACTGTCTAGTATGACAAGGGCAGCACCATTACCTGAAAGTTTCCCTCAAAGTCATGCATCATTCTTACTTGGACCTATGATGCAGTTCTTTCACCGTCACTGGGTCAAATCCTGGAACTTGTTCCCTAACAGCAAGGTGGGTGTACCATATGGAATGTAGCAGTTCAAGAAGGCAGTTCACCACAACTTTTTCAAGAGTGTTTAGGAATGGGCAATAAATTCTGGCCTTGCCAACGATGCCCACATCCCATGAATGACTTTTAAAAACTTAAATTACATTTCTGGAAACAAAATTATGTAAGCTGATTGGCTGTTCTATGCCCATCTCTGTAATGTCAATGTTGGTCTTCAAACTCACTACAGTACTGACAAAGTTTCATTTATTGTATACTTTTAACAAGTATCTTGATGGTACAGACAGGAGACAGACTGCTCTTATCCCCAGTTGGCTGATTGTAAGCACTTTTGCTAAATCTAGTTAAAACCTTCTGTCGTCCTTAACTGATTCTCAAGAATGCCTTACTACTCCTAAACACATCATTTTAGAAGAGGGAAAATTGCCAAGTTAATCTATTTTTGCAGGCATTCTGTTCTGATGATACAAGAATAGAAGTCACAAAGTAAAATTAAACTCTACACAGAATTCCATTGGGATTACAATTCTTCCATGTTGATTGGAGGTTGGAAGGTAAGACAGTGATTGCAAAAAACAGAAGTCACTGATTTACAGATAAAGTCCAACTGTAAACACGAATACGGTATGCAGTGGGAGATAAGCAAGTCTGAAGCTTTAACACAGCTTAAAGTTCAAAATTTGAATTAAAATTAGTGTCCTAAACTTGTAAATGTAATACATATAAAACTACAACTGAAGTAACAAATTGACAATGTGGGTCTTTGCACTACACTGCAAAAGTACAAAAGACTGACAAGTTACTGGAATAGATAAAAAACCAGGGAGAGAGAACTAAGCTTAGTCAGATAATGTAAAAGTATTTCTAATGTTACAAGTTCAGAATTGTCTCCCTAAACGGAATAACCTTAAAGTGTAATATTTATAAATTGTCAAGTTGCACGCTTTAGTTCAGCCGAACCTGGTATGAAAATTTCACAAGCATTACATTTCATTGAAATCCTAGTGACATCATCAGAATAATTATTCCTAACCAAACTACTTAAAAGTTGCTGCTCACTGTAAAAAAAAACTATGCTTAGTACTTACTGGTGATAAACTTGTTCCAGTTTCTGTACAGGAGAACTCCAAAAACTGCTGCAGCACTTAGGAGTAAAAAGATAGTGATTCCCCCAACTAATCCAGAAATGACTTTAGCTGTTTGTATAAAAGGAAGAACAAAGTTAATATTGTCAATGTCAATAGCTACAAAATGATGTTTTAAAAAGTAAGTTTTGCAAAACTATTCAATGAATCATATAGCATATAAACTTATAATGAGATCCAAAAGTGTTTATTCTCAGACCAATAGTTACAGTAATTAACTCACTGTTAAATGAGACCCATATTTCGACCTCTTTAATCCCCAAAGGATTCTCACTCTTGCAAATGTATCTTCCTTCATCCTGCTCTTTTGAGGACATCAATATTGTTAAGCTTGAAACAACACCTTCTTCTGAGATTATGTATTTGCTGCTTGAGAAAATTTCCTCCTCATCATTTCTCCACCAAGTTAATTTGGGAGGTGGATTTCCTTCCTTACTGTGACAGGTCAATGTTGTATTTTTCCCTACATATCCAGTTACAAGAGGTTGTGATTCTGGAAGTGGAGCCTCTGAAAAAAAACAAGAGTTTTGGTTCATGAACATCGAATAGATATTTTGGTCTTTCTTACTAAAATACTAAGCTAATTCTACACTGCAATTGAATAAATTTTGGAATTAGTGAAAAAAAACATTTCTTGGGTAAAATGAAAGAGGGAAAATATTGTGTAATCTCATGTTTAATATTTTTATCTTTTCAATTTCAATCACAAAAATCAAGTGAAAATATCCGCAAGTTGAATACATTAAATGCTGGTCATTCAAAAACCTCAAGTAGCATTCACTGAAACTCACCTACTGTAAATTTTAGGACTTTTTAAAAACATTTGCTTATCAAAAATGCAAGCATATTGTGCAAGTGCCATTTTCCTGCCATACCTGATGAACATTGCATCTAGTCACAGTCAGATCAATTTTAAGAAATTCACAAAATAGAAACTAAACTTAAGTAATGTAAGCTCAGAATTTCATATTTCCTTTCTCTGAGGTGACCCTCCAAGAGAGGGGTCGGGAACTAGCCTCAGTCTCTACACTCTTTCTGTGCCCATTATTTGCTACTGGTGAACTTAAAAGGTTTTTGCACTTCCATACAATTAATACTTCCTATAGTTATAAATGCAGAAAATATTGATCAGTGCAGACAAAGAATGCAAGTTGGACGCAGTTCCTGCTGAACATGCTAAAAATCAAATGCAGCTTGGTTTTCAGTAGGTAGCCAGTGGTTAGCTCTGCTGCGAGAGACCAGGTTCGATTCCAGTCTCGGGCAACTGTCTGTGTGGACCTTGTCTGTGTGCATTTCCTCTGGGTGCTCCAGTTTCCTCCCACAGTCAAAGGATATGCATGTTAGGTGGATTGGCCATGCTAAATTGCTCATAGTGTCCAGGGATGTGCAGTCTAGGTGGATTAGCCATGGGAAATGCAGGGTTACAGGAATAGGGTAGGGGGTAGATCTGGGTGGAATTTTCTTTGGAGGGTCAGTGTAGAATTGATGGGCCTAATTGCCTACTTCCAGGGATTCTATGATTCTATGAATAAACTTCAGCTCTGCTCAATACTGATGAAAACTGAATAAAAACAAGTTTTATAAGGTTTTTCTTTGGATTACACCCACAATGCAAGCAAACCTTTAAGATACATCAAAGGAGGTAATTTCACCTACATGCAGAAAACATATTTTATAACCATGATGTGCCTTTTAAGTTGTTTGCAACTATTCAGTTTCCACTTCAATTAGACCATCTGCTTCAAAGCATGAGGTGTGTTTCATATCCAGATTTGGCAAAAGACAATACCTTGACATCTCAGCAAACGAGCATTTACTGGCACATTAAATCATTCTTAATGACTAACTGGCCTTTGCAGTTCAATTTACTGTGATGCATGATATCACATGGTCAGTAAAACATGGTTGCTCGCAACAGCATTAAAAGTATCCATTCAATTATGATTGCTTCAATGTCAAAACAATATGTGCATTGGTCAGTGATCTTAAGGTGCTTGATTCTCTCCTCTTTCCATTCCATATGAAGACTGCTGTTGAGATATCTGGTTTACAGTATCATATAAGGGGCTTGATTAAAAACTACTTAAAGATATTACCATGACCATTTTTATTTAAACCAGCTAAAGCATTGTATTACTAGCTTCTTAATAGATTTTTCTGTTTCTAATAGCACAGTGAACAAATTTTACTTACTCAATGTCAACGAGCATGACTTTTCCATCCTTTGTTCATATGCAATGTGATAACCCACACATTTAAACAATTGACCATCATGGATCTTTGACCCTTTAATTTCTCGTATTGTGGTATCATTTGACCCAACTAGCCCATGTGGTCCAAATTTCTGATTTTCGCTTGACCAAGCAAATGCCGGATAAGGATATCCTTCAGTCCAAGAACAAAACAGCTGCACATAATCATCAGAAAATGCTGCATGACACACTGGAAGCCCCTTTGGTGGATCTGAAAAATGAACATTAAATGCCATAGCATACTAATTGGTTTTGCTTCATAATATTTATAATAGTGTATAGATAGTTTGTTGAAAGGGAAGGGGTTTATGCTTGCAGCAACAGTATTGTACCTTCCCATAGAAGCTTTTAGTACTATGGTCTGAAAAATTAGTTCAGAAGCTTCAGATATTAGTTGCTTCCTGGATTCTTTCCAATTGATGAATTTCATATCCTGAAGGTTTCTCTTTGTTTTGGAACTATTTATTTTTAATTTCCTTCAATTACATGAGCTGATTTTTGAATAGAAAGATAAAAAGTACCAGGCTGTTAAGCCTTTTAGCGACTTTATGAAAGAGCTTTTCATGGTTGAATTCTATATTTATATCTGCAGTTTGTCTCTCTTTTTCAGTTCTTGAAAAAGAAAATTGAATTAAGTTGGTAACAATTTGATAGCTATTGACATATCCAATTGTCAAAACTAGATCAGTCATGATCTAGTTCAATGATGGAGAAAGGGTGAGGGGCATACTCCTGTTCCAAATTCCTAAACTTACAATAAATTCTTACCATTTATTACATAATACCAATAAGGAGACATCAGTGCTCAAGATACCAAAATGGCTACTATGAGACCTTTTTTTTTAAAATAAAAAGCTTTCTATATGTCAGGTCTTGCAATATTTGTACCAATGGATCAGTTACAACAACGTGGTTTCAAATAGCATCCTTAAGGCAATAAAACCCCCAGAGGACTTCTGAGGGGAATCATCAAATAAAATTTGTTACAGAACCACATCAAAGCTTTGTCGGAGACACAGCTTTTTAAGAAGTATCTTAAAACTTGAGACGAAGAGACATTTTGGGAGAGAATTCCACCTTTGAGCAATATCCCTTCATTAATCCCACCTCTAATTATATTTTGCATATGCCTTTGTTTTGTATGGTAACTTATAGGAGCTGACTTGTATGTGGGACCTTTTAGGTCACTTTGCAGCAAACGAACAGCCTCAATGTCATTACTCAATGAAAATTTCACTTGACACAAAGCATTTTGAGGGCACATTTTCCAGATCAGCTCTCATGTGTTAGATAAAGGCGCTTTATTATTTTGTGCCTAAATGATGAAATTCCAGTTTTAAGATTATGCCAACAATTGGAAATAAGATTGATCAGTGAAACCATCAAATCATTTTATCATTCTGAATACCTCAGTTAAATCACCCTCAACTTCTTAACTCAAAAGAATACAAACAAAGTTTTAGCAGATGTTGATGATACTACAACATTACTATCATTTTTACAGGACTTAACTGCTTATATTATGGCCATTAAATTCATCACACAGTTTAAAATGCTTTAAATAAGCTTCCTCTCTCCTACTTCTTGATAACTTTATTCCCTTATTCAGACACCCGTTGAATGCCTTGGCAAACCCCCACAGCTTACTTCAGGGGAACCACGTTTTTTGTGGGGGGGAAAAAAAGAAAGTGGGATGCTAGGGACCTCCCAAACATAATGTTTCACTAACTTCATATTCCAACGCATTTTTTTGAAAATCATTGTAGGTATCTCTCAGTAATTTAAGCCAAGCATTCAAATGATTCTTTTTGTCCCGGAACTGATCAAATCTTAACACATGTCAGTGATACTACACGGGAATAAAATTATAAACAAAGTCAAGATGTTATACATTGTTTATTTTCATTTTTGGATCTTTTCTTATATTAATGAAGTACTTGCTGATATGGAAAGTTACAGCTTGAGACAGCAAAAGTGATCAATTTAAAACAATTACACTTGCGTGTAATTAGTGTTAATCTACAATAGCTGGAAATTTTGCTGTATTGATCATTAGTGAAATATTTGTGAGAGATATTAGAAAGCGATTGTAAATATAACTTACAGTAGACAAGGACTTCTTTGGTTTCACTGACGTTTTTTGAGCAGGTGTAATTCCCCTGGTTGTCGTAACTTATATCAAAAAGTGTAAATTCAGTATGTGCTCCCTCTACACTTGTAAAAACTTCCTGATTTGAATCCGGATGAACAAAAATCCAGGATATGTTCTGCTCTAGTTGAAGTGTGCTTGAGCAACTGAATGAAACATTTTTGTGTTTGATTACGTAGATTGTTTTATTTGGCAATTCTTCTCCAGGACTAATGGTAACAGTAAAATTCATGTCATCATCTGCAAGTGCAAAGAACACACTTCAGCTAAAAGTGAAAACAACAGACATTTAAGTGTTAAGTGTGAACAGCAATAAATACACATTTTAGTTCTTTAATTGATAGAAATACCTTCTCAAAGTGAGGAAAGCAAGCTTGGTTGGTTTTGTGGACTTTCTACAAATGGACTTATTTGTACTGTAAAACTGGAAGTTTTTTGTTGTACTGCAGTGATAAGATTGATGGAGAAAGAGGAACCACTATTGGTTAAAGCTTTAAAAAGAAAGTAGAATCACTTTTGCACTTAACACAGCATTTAGACACTTACAGCATTGATTTTGAATGAAAACATGTTTAGACTATTTTTAAAATATCCTCAAGTTAGACATTTTATGTTGTTAACATGAAATAATGTTATCACATACTTAACAACTAAATGCTCTACTATATCCAGATAGTTACAGAGTGAGTGTGCAATTTGTTAATCTTTGAAATATTGCAATAAAGTTCCCCCAGATTTCGAATCCCAAATTTACAACAACAGCTTTATGATTTTTAGCATAAAACATCCCAACACAGAAACATTAGAAAACAAGAATGACACAGCACTATATAAGGAGATATTTGGTTAGATGACCATAAGCTTGAAGTTGATTTTAAGCCTTATTTTAAAGGAGAAAAGTGAGGTAGAAATAGAATGGATGTGAAGATGATGTTTCCACTAGGAGTGACTAGGACCTGAGAGCACAGCCTCAGAGTGAAGGGACGACTCTTTAGAACTGAGATGGGGAGAAATTTCTTCAGCTAGAGGGTGGTGAATCTGTAGAATTTATTGCCACAGAAGGCTGTGGAAGCCAAGTCATTGAATGTACTTAAGTCAGAGATAGCTAGGTTCTTAATTAGTAAGTGATCAAGGGTTACGGGGAGAGGGAAGCAGATGAGGTTGAGAAACATTTCAGCCATGATTGAATTGCAGAGCAGACACAGTGGGCTGAATGGCTTAATTCTGCTCCCATATCTTATGGTCTAGAAAGGTAGAGAGGTATTCTAGTGCTTGGTGTCTTGGGAAGTGTTGCCACTAATGGCAGAACAATTAAAATTGGAAAATGTACAAGAAGCCAGAATGAGATTGCCATAGTTATCTCAGGATTGAGAGATTGGAGGAGCTTACAGTGATAAGGAGGGATAAAGTCACCAAGGAATTTGAAAACAAGGATGGGAATTTTAAAATAATGGCATTACGCAACCGAGAGCCAATATTGGTCAGCGGTGAGGGGTGATAGGGAAAGGCAATTTTGTGCAAGTTAAGACACAGGCAGCAAAGTTTTGGATGACCTGAAGCTGCGTGTGGGAGACCAGCCAACGTGCATTGGATGGTTGAGTCCAGAGGTAATGAAGGCACAAATGAGAGTTTCAGAACAGATGAGCTGAGACAGGGACAAAATTGAACAACTTTATGGAGATGGAAACAGGCAGGCCAAGTGATAACACAACTAATGCAGGTGAGAAGTTCATCTGAATCAAATGTAACAGAAAGGTTACAAACAGACCAACTTAATCTCAGATTGTTTGCTAGAGAGAGAAAGATAAAGTCAGTAGCTGTGGAAGGAATTTGCAGCAGGAACCTACATTCCCTCTAGCTTTTGCTGTCATGTGCGGACCTTTGAGGCCCGTGCATGGCAGCAATCTCCAGAAGCAGAAGCTGATGGTTCTGCACTCTGATCAACATATGCAGATCCTCCGCGTGGCCAGGACAGAAAACAGTTTTCCCAGAATTGATCTGGATGAAATTTCTGCTCATCTACAGATGCCAGATAAGCATTAATTGTTTCACCACCCGTGAAACAGAGTGTATATATGAAAATCGACACTGTTCAGTTGATGTTGTTGAGCAGCAGCATGGTAATGAGATAATGAAAAGGACTGAGAAAATGCCTTTGGGAGACAGCAGTGGCTAAAGGTGAGAGAGAGAGAGAGAGAGCGAGAGAGAGAGAGAGAGAGAGAGAGAGAGAAAAAAAGAAAGAAGAAAGAAAGAAAAAAAGAAAGAAAGAAGAAAAGAAAGAAAGAAAAAAAAAAGAAAGAAAGGAGACTTAAAGCTTCAAGTCTCACTTCAGCAGTAACATGTGTGCATCAAATCATTTGGCAAAGCACTCCACATCTTCTTTGTGCTTCTGATTTTTCTTCTGTTCCATTGAATGTGGTTTCACCCTGATCCATCATCACACTAACAACTGAGTTCACCACTCCCATATCACAGGGAATTACAATCATGTCCTGCACCATACCTATGCTGTGTAATATCATATTTACACAGTAAAAAAGTGTTTCTTTACAGTACAAAAGAATTAACATATTGGAAGGAAAATTGAGAGCAATCTCTGGTCCAACTGGAGGTCAAGACAGATTCTGAGCCCAAGAAGTGGAAAGATCTGAGGTCAAGTTGTAAGTTAAACAAAATGATATATGTGTTTAATTGAATAATTTTTGCATAAGGAATATACTTGTTACAGGGGGATCTGCGAAATCTTTATGATGCGAAAAAGGGGATATCAAGAGGCTATCCTGGTGCCCATAGTGAAAGGAATATTAAGCCTGAGTTATTTATAACAAGTACATTTAATAAAGACAGTGATTTGGAAATGTTACAAGTCAAAAACAGAAGGCTGGAAATGCCTAGCCCACATCAAAGGAAGTGGTTTTTAAGAAACAGTAGCAAACCTGAGGATTGGGAGTAATTCAGGACCCAAAGGAGGGTCAAGAAACCGATAAGGAGAGGGAAGAGAGAATATGAACACAAGTTAACAAAGGGACATAAAGGAGGACTATAAAAGTTTCTATAAAAAAACTAAATGAAAGTGATTAGCAAGGATAAATGTAGGTGTATTACATGTGCGAACAGTAACAGTTATGGAGGAGAACCGGGAAGTGCAGGAGTAACCAAACTAAACTTTATATCTGTGGTCACAAAAGAAGATATAAAAACTCTCCCAGAAATACTAGGGACTTGTGTAACTGAAGAGCAATATGCAATTGATATTAGTTACTTGAAAAAGAAAAAAAAGAAATCGCTTGGATCAGATGAGCTCTTTTCAGGCCATAAAAGGAAGGAACAGTAGAGATAGTGGTGGATTGCTAGTTATCTTTCACTGCTGCTCAGTGATTAGCACTGCTGTCTCACAGCGCCAGGGACCTGGGTTCGATTCCACCCCCAGGCGACTGTCTGTGTGGAGTTTGCACATTCTCCATGTGTCTACGTGGGTTTCCTCCGGGTGCTCTGGTTTCCTGCCACAGTCCAAAGATGTGCAGGATAGGTTGATTGACCATGCTAAATTACCCGTAGCATTCAGGGATGTGTAGATTAGGTGGATTATAGGGGGATGGGTCTGGGTGGGATGCTCCAAGGGTCAGTGCGGACTTGTTGGGCCGAAAGGCCTATTTCCACACTGTAGGGATTCTGCCCCTCAGAGGGAATGAAATGAGAATTGGTTAACAGGCAGAAAGACAGACAGTCTCAGAATGACAAGCTGTTACTATTGGGGCATCACAACGGTCAGTGCTAAGTCCACAACTGTTCACAATCTGCATAAATGTTTTGGATGTGGGGGCCAATTGTAATATTTCCAAATTTGCTGACAATATAAATCTGGATGTGAATGCAAATTGAAAGGAAGGTTCCAGAAGGCTTTAGAGAATGTGGACAGGCAAAGTGAATGGCTAGAACATGGTAGATGGAACACAATATAATTAAATGTGAAATTATTCACTTCAGTGCAAAACATTGCGGCAGAAAATTTCTTAAGTGGTGAGAGGTTAGGAAGTATAGCTGTTAGAAGAGGATCAGGTGTCCTCATCCAGGAGTCACCAAAAGACAATATGCAAGTGCAGCAAGCAATGAGAAAGGCAAACAGTATGTTGGCATTCACTTCAAGGGGATTTGACAGCAGAAGTAAAAATGACTTACTGTAGTTGCACACAGTCTTGGTGAGACCTCACCTGTAATATTGTGTACAGTTTTGGTCTCCTTATCCAAGGAAGGATAAACTTGTAATAAAAAGAGTGCAAAAGATGTTTCCTAGAATAGTCACTGGAATGACTATTTTATGAGGTGAGATTGTGAAAACTGGATTTATATCTCCTACGGTTTCAGAGGATATGTGGTGATCTCATTGAAACTTAAAAAAACTTCTTAGAGTGGATGATAGGGTGGACATAGATAGGATGTTACCTCAGATGCTGACGGTAGAACCAGGGTACATAATCTCAGGATGACAGTCAGGACATTTAAGACTGAGAAGAGGAGCGATTTCTTCACAAAAGTTGGCAAGTCTCTGGAATTCTCTACCCCATAGGTTTGTGGAAGCTCAATCATTCAGTGGTTCAAGACCGATATCTATCGGTTTCTGGAGACCAATGACATTAAAGGTAAAGTTGCCATAGTCCCAGAGGACTTAGGCAAGGGACCTTCATGTTAACCTCAGCTGGTGGGGGAATTAAACCTGTGCTATTGGTGTTATTTTTTAATCACAAACCAACTGCTCAGCCAATTCAGCTAACTGATCCCCTTAATGACATTAAAAGATATGGAGATAGTGCAGGAAAAGATATGATCAGCTATGATGTGGAACAGTTGAGCAGACCCAAAGGACTGATTCCCTACCCTTGTTCCTATGCAGCTATGATTGGTAGGTCCCTTAGTATGCATGAAAAGACAAATAATAAGTTAGCTCATTCCCTCTTGTGAGCTGAGAAGGGAAGATGTGAGGGAATATATTAACTGAATCAGGGAAAACGTATTAAAAATGTCAAATATATTGGAGAACATTGTGATAATGACATCATCTCAACCAATGAAAATAAAGGTTAAAGTAAGGAGTCAGAGAATCCCCACAGTGTGGAAGCAGGCCATTCAGCCCATCAAGTCCACAATGACCCTCTGAGAAGCATCCCACCCAGACTGACATCCCTACCCAATCCCTGTAACCTTGCATTTCCCATGGCCAATCCAGCTGACCTGCACATCTTTGGACTGTGGCAAGAAACCACAGCACTAGCAGGAAACCCATGCAGACACGGGGAGAATGTGCAAACTCCACACAGACAGTTGCCCGAGGCTGGAATTGAGCCCGAGGCTGGAATTGAACCCGGGTCCTTGGTGCTGTGAGGCGGCAGTGCTAACCACTGAGCCATGCTGAAGAAAGAAGTACAAATGTGAATTGCTAAGATAGTGAAGGTCTATTTGATGAGAAGGTGAGAGCTTGGGAAGGATGAAAGATAAGGTCCAGTCAGCTTTGAAGTCAAAACAAAAACTGTTGGCAATTACAGCAAGTCCATGAGCTGTGAAGAGAAATATAATCAAAATAACTCAACAGTAAGAGTACAGATTGTTCTATTCTCACACATCACCTCTCTTACTGTCACCTTCTGTAAATGCTGTTGCTACAAAATGAAAAAAAATTACCTTTGAACTAAACATCAACAAAGCACTCTATAGGACCATAAACATCAACAATGCACCCTACAATAACCTCTGCTGTGAAGAAAATGAAGGAAGGATGAAGCCAATAGTTCAATGCAGTGATGCTAATTTTTAGACTAGAGGCTATATGACAAATATGAGATACGGGTCGATTAGTCTCCATTAGGAACCATTGTAATTCTATGTGGGGGCCAAAGACAGAGAGGTCAGAGTGAATGGGAGGGGAAATGAAGGACACATACACAAAGTAAAATAATCATCTAATTGTTATTTCCAACTTAGCTGTTTTATGTAAATGTGACCAAATTTTCTGTTTCATTCTGTTATGATCTATTGATTGGTTTAGCTAGATGAGGCTGGAATGCAATTGTATTACTGTACTAGGGTCAACAACTCAGTGGTGGCCAGAATATGAACCTGGAAAGAAAAAACCTTGGGAATAGATTAGAAAATACAGAGAACATTCTCTTCGGTATATTAAAATATTAATGAGAAAATATCAAAAAATGGAAAGGTGGAATGTGCAGTGCCTCTACATTCACTGCTGGAACCGTTACAATTTACAAGCAACTTTTATTTAGCCAGTCCTTAAATTTCAGTATGTCAAAATAGGAGAGGTAATAGAATCAGAAGTGCCACTTCAGAGGATAGAACAAAAATAAAAAAAATCATTTAGTGCAGACAGAATGTATGTAACATTTTACTAAATGGGTGTTAAAAATAATAACAACCATACTTCAGGAATGGCACTGAAGTAACTACAGTTGAAATTGATAGAGGCAAGAAAGTATTAGTTGGCTCAACATTAAATATGCCCAACAATTGCAAAGTATTAATCATTAAAACTGACAGGCTATGGACTTCACCAAGCATAAATGAGTCCTGGTGGGACCTGCAATGTTGTTATCTTCAGATGTACTTGACCTGCTAAGTGCTGCAAGCATTTCCTGGTTTTTATTTCAGGTTTCCAGCATTTTGACTGAGTACAAGCTAGAGCAGGTAACAATACACCTCTATTGTGTTCCTACTCAAGTTCACACTTTCTGATAGTTTTGGTCAACAAGAAGGCATCTAATAGCTGGAAGTAGTAGAGAAAAGATACATTAGGTCCATCCATAGTTTGAGGGCTCTTACTAAAGAAACTTGGACTGACCAACCTGGAAAGAAAGTTATTTTAAATCGAGATATCTAACAATATTACAGATTAAAAAAAAACTATTACCATGAACGTTTCTGTGGGAATATACACCAGAGACACAGATTTGAAATTAACAAGGTTATTTTTAGAACAGACGTCAGGAATTTCTTCTTCATTGGTTTGAGCACAACATACCGAATAAACTTCGTTTGAATGGGTGATCAAGGATCAAGCAATCAAGGAAATTTAAATCACTATCAAACATAGGAGGAAAAAGAGTGCCGAAAATATTTCGCAGGTAACATCCTCCCAAACGGATGATTGCCTGAGGCGCTTCAGAAGGACTTATTATAATTAGAATAGCCATCACAACTGCATAAACTAGTGAATATTTGTTAGAGAAGGGAGGGGGAGGGGGAAAAATACTTTTTACAACTTTAATTACCATTCAAAACGACACACTTGATGGTTGCTACATTTTATCAACGTAAGACTAGTTGCGCTCTAAATAACACCAAGTAATAACTATCTTACCTTTTATATAAGTACTAAGGACATGAACACCCTATCAGTGAAACTCCTATCAAACCCCAGTAAAACATTTGACTAAACTAAAATCCAAATATCTAAATAGTCTACTGGAGTAGTGCAAGCAAAACATGCAGAACAGCCTGCATAAACATGTCGAACCCTAACTCGTTTCACAACAGGAAGAAACACAGCTCTTTGGAAAACTCGTCGGGCGCTCGATTGGTTAAATGAACTATTCATATGAAGATATATGAATACATTAAAAACCTACCTGCCCAGACCAAAGAACACAAGGCGAGGCTGAGAACAGCAGCGAGCTGCAAACAATTGCTGCAGCCCATTGTGCTGACTGAGTGAGCAACTTTCCGAGGACAATAACCTTTAGCACTTCCTGCTGGCTCGCTCCAGTGCGCACGCGCGGCACACCTTGGCCCGCCTCACCTGTCGGTGCAGGTGGGCGGTAGAACTCGAGAGCCAGTTGGGGAAGACCCCACTCTCTGGATAAACTGGCTCAGAAGCCAGTGTAACACTTCCCATCTCCCTTCCAGAGATGATTCCCTGTTTTCTGATTGCAGGTTAGTGTTTTTTGGCGAAAAAGAATGTCCCATAAACACCAACGCGTATTGTAAATGATACTGGAGTAAAACAGAAAGCTCCATGGCTGTGGTCCAGATCCAAACACTTCTTCATTCTTGCCTGATACGTTGTAACAATGACTGCACTTCATTAGGTAATCTACTGGCTGTGAAA